TATAATCACTCTACTATGTCTCTTTGACGAGTTGTAGCTTGGTGCTGAGAATGACAAAACCCACTGACGATGCCGGCGTAACGCCTAGGGATGTTCCAAGTCCACTGTCCAATGCTCGAAATAGTGATATCTACTATAGTAGATAAATTCAGACAAGGTGCATCCAACTAGTTTATCTTGACAACATGACCAAATTTCGAAAACGAGGCCATATCACTTCTCTACAATGAAAAGCTACTGCGACCAAAATATAAGCCACAACATCTTGCTCTGTATATCTACATTTAACCTATATTTTGTCCCTTTGACCGACTGCTTCATAATGTCTGTTGAATTAGATTAATTTATTCTGGATGAATCCTGGCTCATTTGGTAGGTAAATGGAATATATTTAGAAGTTACAAAATATACCTTTTTATGCACATTAGTTTGTCCTGCAGTATTCTTCATAATCGATGGATTCAAGTTAATTGGAGCACATTGGGACTAGAACATTGCCCAATTAAGCGGTCATTCAAAATTATGCTAAGTTTAGGGCACAGAGTCAATGATATACAATAAAGGTTAAGCTATTATTGGTATGTAGAAAAACTTGGTTTAGAAGAATCACATAATTGATTGATGTTGGAGTACCTTTCGTTTCCTTTGAAGAGGCGAGTGGAAGATATCCATAAGTTGGTTCTACCGGAAACTGTAGGGGGATCACCTTGGTGCTGTGATTGTAGATTTGTGAGAATAAGTCCTGGCGCACCGCCCTGCGACCCCGATGAATCCTTACTGAGCTCTCGTTCGTCAGGCCTAAGGTCGGCCACCTTTCTTGTCTTCGTATTTTGGTGAATTATCGTTAAGCATGGTGTCCTGCTCTGACGATGCCCGCTACATAACGGATGAAAGCTCAACAAAGATTCATCGGGGTCGCAGGGCGGTGCGTAGAGGACCTATTCGGACAAATCTACAATCCAAGGCAATCCCCTACAGTTTCCGGTGGAACCAACTTACGAATCCCTTCCACTCACCTCTTCAAACAAAATGAAAGGTACTCCAACATCAAACTATTATTTACTGAGCATCAAATTATGTATGTATATATGAAAAAAATTTCTGAAGCATATTGGGCATTCTTTATATTTCCGTTCCTTCGCATTTGGAGCATCAACACTATTCTTCTCACCGTCTATTTTCTCCAGTTTAATGTCAGGCAGAGATTTCCATCGAATGAAATAACCATCTCTGGCTTTATAATCTTCTTGGTCCAGCTTTTTTTGTTAACTCCTATGGCTTGCTTTTCGCATACCTATTCCATTTCAATACCGATACATTTATGTCTTCATCACCACCCAGGTCCTTATCTTTACACTTTCGTTTTTGAATGTTTTCTGATTTCCTTCGCATATTGCTCATTCTTATCACAAGTGATCTTGCTGGTTTGTCAATTAAAAGAATAATAAATTTCAACGAATTACCTAATGCAACATCCCACACTCTGAATCGGCGTCGAGGTTATGTGTAGATCACGCACGGTCTCAATGACCTATCTCATACCTTTCCTGATTAAGCGGCATGGTGTCCCAAATAAGCAAATGAATTAATTTTTTATAGAAGTTGTTTGACCTTGTTTTTGCAATTTGGTCATATTGGTAGGAAGACCTAAAGGAACTCACCTAATCCGGAGTCCATAGTATGCATGATAATTTCCAGAGTCGGACCATGGATGTGGTACATTCTCAGACTTTTCGCCGGCATCAAACAATTTCTATGCGACGAAAGGAGACTGCGACCATACAGATGGCCGCACCATCTTGATCTTCATACCTTCCAAATTATTTTATTTTCTGGATTTGTCTTGGCACAAGATTTATCCCATTTAGATGGCTGACTCAATTAACCGGAGTCCACTGTATTAATATATTAGGTATATGCCAATGGATATTATAGCAACATTATAGCGAAAACCTATCCCCTCGTTCTCTAAAACAATTCTAAAGACCCACTCTTTCATGTTTTTTCTTAATTGTGAAGAGCAGGAATCAACAGTGCATATAGGTTGGGTGAAGTGGTTGGACCCTTGGAGTATTAATTCGGTTTCAGATTGACATACTGGCATTGAAGTGGGTATACTCAAATAAACCTTCGAGGTTACCCTGAAAACATGAATATATAGTGAGAAAGTGGCAATAACAACTCCATACTAAATCGTCTTGTGGTGCGGGAAACTGGAACCTCAATTCCTCAATAATAAGTTGAAAAGCGGACCCATATTTAATTAGGGTATAATATATAAATAAATATCAAACTCATAATAACATAGACTTATCAGGCAATTTTTCACTCTTAGTGAAGCTGGATAAGCATAATCCTTACTGATGAACTCTTGAGTTTTCTATTCATTATTTTCACCATTTCTTGCTATCACTGTTGGATCCAGACAGCAAAATATCAATCAACCTCACCATTATACAGTTGAAGCTGAAAGGTGTGAAGAAGCAAGATACAGAGAAGTAGAACACAGTTTGTGCTTTGCGCTATGATCTTACTCGCAGGACAGGGTAGTCCTGCGAACTAGCTTACCTGATGTTACCACGCTACAACGGAGGCTTATTGGCTCTTACAAAGCCAAGCGCCTGACGACCTTTTGATGTTGCATGCTATTGTAGGAGCGTGGAGAGGTTGTGGGATGTGAAGATCGGGTTGTGATTGCTATAGGATGTTTGGTTTGGCTTTTTGTGGGGAGGCGGAGTCCGATGGATCAAATGGTTGGCTGGGTTCAGACTGGTGAAGATATTATTAGTCGGCAGTCAGAATTAGGCTTGCTCAAGGGGGCTTAGGTGGGTATGTGGTCCATGAGTTAATTTTATGCGAGACCAGAAACGTGGCGGGAAAGGGCCGGCTTAGTGAATTGACTTATTCGATCTCAAGTTTGCACATTAGATGACAGTAGATGCAACTAAAAATACAGATTTGCGCAACGGAGCTAAATTTATGAGATGAAAAATACAGTTCAAGTCGCTACTTGCTTGAAATATTGCATTTTAATAGTTGCTTTTATGTGTTTTGCATCTGTAGTACAACTGGACTCCTGCTCATATTGCTCGTCGGCAGCATTACCTAAACATTTTCGAAGTTCTTCGTCAGGTGACTACGATTGTGGAGTCCTGGGAAACAGAAGAAGAACTTATCATGCATGAGCTAATCAACAATAATGGAGCCTCTGTTGGAAACAGCACACCGTTATTAAAGTCTTCTAAACCTCCGGAATCGGACCAAACTTCAACAGGACTTTTAATCGGTCCTAGAGGTGGAGGAATAAATAATCGTTTGGAGATTGAACGGCCAGATACCATGGGGGAACATCCTATTACTGATACAGAAGAAGAATGTGGTAAGAGTATATTTTGTGGATTTTCATGAATTATAATGAAGTATTGTTAATTTAATTATGATTTATATTACTTAAGCTGATTTGGAATATAGGCTTTTATGGCTAAATTAAAATAGTTCTTGGGGGCGTGATCAATGACTTGGTTGATATTAAACTTCATATAAATAAGTCAAAACTACGCTCACTAATTAAAAGAAAGAATAGGTATTTTTCATTATTTTCGTTCGTAAGCAGATTTCAACATAAACCGCAGCTCTTCTTACGAGCTATCTTCATTTTATTTCGTTAAAAGGGTTTAATGTTATTGAATTTTCATGCAACTCAATGAGTGTGCCTTATTTATCCATTGAATTTCACATAGCCTTGCTTCCCCAAAAGTATTACTATCCAGGTTGATTAGGTTTTCGAGAATACTAGTAAATCATATATATGAGTTGTGCTCACCCTATATCGTTTAAGGCGATGAAGGACTGGTGGTTGAATTTTCTCACAATGATGTGATTAGTCCTTGCGTTTCCATTGAATTTCACATATTGTTTTCCCAAAAAGGTATTCTCATCCATTGAGGACTGCGGTTTCGACCTCACCTAGGTCTTGTCGAGCTTTCAAGCAGGACTCGAACCATGATAGTGAAGGGTATGATCCCAACACGTTAACCATTACGCGACATTACCACGAGTGGCCTTGGGTCACAGGGCAGACGTGAATTTCAAAGAAGGTAAGGCATTTTCCCATGTTACATTTTGTGGTGTGATTGTCGATGAAGCAAACCTATATTTGCTATTACAATCGACTAGATTGCTTATTTTTGCCGTTTCGAGTAGGTTTTAGAGACTACCGACAAATCAAATATATGCGATGTGATGAAGAAGGTGATGAAGGACCAGTAGTTGAATTTTCCCACATTTATATTAGAATACCTTTTTGGGAAACCATTGCTATGTGAAATTCAACGGTAACGTAAATTCTACTAATATCAATGTGGAAAAATCCAGCTCAGTCCTTCATTACCTTTATCGAAATATGGTGAAAACATCTCATGTGTATGATTTGCTGGTAACCTCGAAAAGCTACTTAATAAGAAAAATATGTGTAATGTCGTCGATTGCTATCGCACATATATGTTTGCTTCATAGATAATCCCATTAACCAATCGGATATGGGAAAATACTTAACCTTCCTTGAACTTCATATCTGCCCTGTGACCAAAGGCCACTCGTGGCAATGTGGCGTGGTGGTTAATGTGTCGAGATTATGGGCTTCACTGTTATGGTTCGAGTCCTGCTGGGGATATTGTTAAGACCAATGCGAGGTCAAAATTGAAGTTCACTCTTGATGAGAATACCTTTTGGGAAGGCAAAGCGGATTAAAATTCAATGGAAACGTAAGGTATACTCATATCATTCAACGAAATAAGGTGAATACATCTAATTTATAATTAATATGTTTTTCTTTTAATTTTCACTTTTTAGCTCCTCATTCGTATCTCTGTCGTTCTTACTCGTATAAATTTTAAGATCTTTTATCATCAAATTTACCTGCACTAACCATCTTTTTTGATAGTTTTGAATGTTATTAAAACAATTATCTATTAATATAGCCGTGTTTAGTCGCCAATAAACGTTCACCTTTTATAAGATAGCTATTACTACAAATATTAAATAATCCACCCACATTTAGCTTCCTAATATTTAATGCCACTTAGACTGTTCGTCCATATTTTCACTTGCTCCTCTCCTGTGGATGCTACTTGTAAGAGGCACTATCGAAGCTGTTTTTTACATAGGATGAATAAGCATAATGGAAAAACTAAAATAGGTTGACATGTAAACTTCTTCATTCTCTGATCAGGTTTACAAATACTTTCCAATATATTTTGACTTTGGTAATTTAGACGTACTTTCTATAAGCGCTGCCCTTCTTTTTATTTTCTTTATTTGGCCGATCACTTAGTCAATATACTGGTATAAATATATAATCTTTTCATAAATATCTTTGATATATATTTTTTGTACTATTAATTTTTTTTCTTCACCTGTGTTTTTGCCTGTATTTCATCAGTCGAACCTGAATTCGCCTTAGTTCCTGCCTCTCCAAATTCTATTACCCATTGTCTTGAGCCGGGACACTTTGTTAATTTGGCCTCAGATAATACCGATCTTATGCGTCTCGATCCCGCAGCAACACTTGCAGGACTTAACTATGCTACGAAGACTCTTGAATCTCTAGGATCACTCGAGCCAGGCCTCATCAACACACTTGAAGAGCGATATGTTCGTGAAGGGACTTTGAAGCAAATGCTTACGACATCCAGACAGCCTTTATGTGCCGAATCTGTATTTGTCTGTGCCGAAAAACTGCCTGGTATGTCATCCTCAATTATATTTATATATATATATGCTATCTAGGCTAGTCAGCAAGCTTTGGTTTAGGTGTAGATATGAAGACCAAGATGTTGAGGCTCCTCTTTTGTTTGCAGTCTCTTTCGATGTAAAGAAGAGGTCTGACCTCATTTTTCGCAACTTGATCGTGTTGTCAGACCGACCTACTCGGACGCATCTTGCCAGAAGCCCTCTGCTATAGTAGTTATGATAATGTCCAGCGTTTGCAATGGATTTAGTAAATTCTCTGATGTTTCGTCAGCATCTTGGTCGGTATTGTCAGAGTCTTGTCATTCTCACCACCAAGCTATAACTCGTTAAAGGGACAAGGGAAGTCAATCCCTTAACCAATTTTCTGTCTAATAGTTGCGCTATTACTCCTGCCATGATATATCTACCTACTCTATTCTCGTATCTCATTTTCTCCCAAACACGACTTCTGATTTGTTCCTATTGGAGTCCTCTATAGCCGTCCCCACTGGCAAGTTTAGTGTGACGGCATTACATCTGCTGCTTATCTTGCCATCCATTTCTTTCGATTTGCTTACCCGATTCTAACCTATTCCAAAATTCGTTTCTTATCTTACTGATTGACAGCCACCATATACGTTTTCATCCAGGTGTCACGTTTGCTGTGGCATCACCAAGCAGAATAAGAATAGAAGCAGAACTTTTTGTTGTTTAACTTGTATATAGAAGACCAAGCTGTCGTTGCTTTGGGTTTGGTAGCCGTCTCCATAGATGTATAGTTTTGGTCTGTCCCTGTCTTCGCAACTTGGTCAAAGCAAAGGGAATCCTTGTTCACTGAACTAGATCTGCGTCCTCTGCCATAGTATTCATGAATATTTCCAGCTTCAAATCGTTGACTTGGTACATCCCCAGACGTTTAATCAGCATTGCCAATGTTAGGCAGCACCCTTAGCACAGTTTCAACTCATCAAATTGGCAAATTAAGGCACTTTACTATTCAACTGTCGTTGCATCTCTCCTGCTCCTTACCTTAGCTTCTAGCGCTGCACCTCTATCTCTCAATCCCAATTAATATGGTTTATTTACCTATTTACATCATTTTTTGTCTTTTATATCAATCTCTCCTAAGTGTGTGTCATTTTAAGCAGATTTGGTGAAGCGTAATCACCTTCGCTACCGGTTTCGGCTGCTTTTTATAGGGCATCTGGGATGAAATCCGTACTTTTAATTAGCTCCTTCCACCCCGCCTATCAACTATTCCCTGCTACACATAAAAATTACTGCCTAACTGGCTGTCTCGAAGTCTTCAATTGTCATCTTTTGCGTCATAGTAGAGGAGTTCAAGAACGACGATTCTCAATGCCAGGCTTCTCCCTAGGCTTCAGACCCATGATCCAGTTATCTTCTTTCCCATTCTCTCATTCTCCGGGTTCCTGTATCTTGCTTCCTTTCGAACCGCTAGTCTTGAAATGGGCTATTTCTCTTCTCAATTCATGAATTGCGTAAGGCACACTATTTGTATCGCTTACGTTGATAGTCCAACCTAATCCTGAAGTTCTACTGTGTTCTACCCATGCATATTGACTGCCAGGTCTGTCATCAGCCACCTCTCACTACAGACACACACTTAACAGCTCTAATGATGCACTACGTTTATGGTCTTATAATTCTATAT